CCAGAGAGCTACCTTCCCCCGGGTAACAAGTGGCTGCGTTCTGTATTAGCCAGCAATCTCTCTCACTTACAGTGCATTTCTGCCCTCTCTCTCTCCATTCACAGTAGATAAGTCGCAGAGAGGGTAGACAGAGAATAATGACGTTGAGCATGCACAACAACTGCCTCCCTAGGAGAGGGCCCCGGGGAGCATTTTGCAGTATTACCCAGTCAGCCATAACTAAAACATCATTACAACCCTATTCACAGCCCAGACCAAGAGTAGGCTCTGGCTGCAGAGAGGGGATGAGAAGATGAGGGGATGAGGGGATGAGGGGATGAGTGGATGAGAGGATGAGAGGATGAAGGGATGGGGGAATATTTCATTATTAATTCATCTACTGGCTTTTTAAAAAATTAATCTGTGAAAGAGTTCTTGGCTATTAAATGTCTAAAAACATGAAAGAATGTCGTTATAATTTCCCACAGCCCAATGAGATCAAATTAATGTTGTCGTTAAAGTGTAATGACGTCTTTTTGACAATCAGCCCAGAACACAACGACATTCAGTTTAATATCATATACAACAAATAAATGTCTAAATGAAGAGGATGAAACCTGAATGAAATCCAGTCATGAATACATAAACAAGCAATGTAAAGATTCCAACGGGTAAATACAGATTGAACACACGAAATGTCTTCTGTAATCAAACCCTGACTTTTTTATGGTTGGTATTTTTGGCAGAAATATAATGAATTGTCTTAATATTGTTTATTGTTTATTGTTCTAATGCTGTTTAGAGCTATTTCAAGTTATTTCTATAGCAGAATGGACATTTCCTACATTTGCTGCTTCACATTAAAAGCGAATAACTGGAGAAAGACAGGTCGTCTTTTTATCGTGAAGCAATCACAGGAAATGCCATGTATGTGTTACTAATGCTGACAACCAGCTTTCGTTGATAACGTGACAACAAAAATGAAGGTTTTGGCTTTTTTATGCATCTATTTATTTGTGTCTGTTTTCAGGAGCGATGCAGATGGCAGGACGTGAACCTTGAACCCATCGACATAACTTACTGTGCTGGGCTCTACGGTTTAAAACGTACTCAAGGAGTGCTTGCTGGTATAAAAAGCAGCCACCAAAGTTACTATTTATGGTATTTATGTTTTTATATAAGTTAGTACTACTTTTTTTTCCTAATGCAGAGAAGATGTTCATAATGTTTATAATATATTCAATATTAAAGTTACCTATTTATATCAATAAAATGCATTTTCCAGAGAGGATATCTTACATATCAAAGGTTAGACAGAATATATGAGTACACATGGAGGCCCTTTTTTAAAGATGTTGATTCAACCTGAGTTTCCAAGCCTTTAGACCTGTATATTTTTTCTAGTGAATGTTTTTATTTGTAGTCTTTAATCATTAATATGTTCCAGTGCGTACTTGATTAAGATGCGTTATACAGAAGAAGCATGTTAAAAGGTATTAAAAAGGCTGTTTTAGGTGATAATATACTTCTAAATAATCCTGCAGATGTATGTGGAGGGGACCGGCTAACAGCAGTCAGCTGACCTGCTGAGCAATATCTAATTATGCACAAGTTACAAAAACCACTCATTAAACTGGAGCGTTAAACTGAAGTGACACATTAATGAGCGACTGAATACATAAATGAAAACTGCAGACGGCAACAAACGTTTGGAGAAGTAGCATGAAATCCCTTTTTGCTACTAACAAGGACCCAGAGCAGCTCGTCTTAATGCTGCACCGAAAACAATGAGGGCTCTGACTGCTGAAGTAAACACAGCTTACAGCTCATCACTGTAGTGACAGGATCACAACTTGACAGGATTAAGTCGATGTAGTTGATTACAAAATGTGTAACTTAGCCCTCTACACATTTAAACACAAGCAAGACATCAACTACAACTCTCATCTCATTGTGGGTTGACAATAACTGTAATGCATCATTCTACACCTGCAACTCATACTCTATGCCTCCATCATCCTTCACCTGTTCACCTTTCAGACAGTAACAGCATCCCCTTGTTCTAAAAACAAGACATGCTCCGCCATCAAACCCTTTCTCTGCAGCACATACCACCACAGCTTCACCCTTCCTTCAACTTGTGATTGCATCCCACTTCCTTGCACCATTGACACTCCAAAGAGAAAATCTGCACATAGTTAAAAATATGGTGGGAGAGTAACTTATGAATATGTAAATCTGGCCTTGAGTCAACAGGCGTTCACTTCTTCCCTTACAACCTTTTTTTAATTTCCCTGACAATTATGCCTTTCATCTTTACACACACACACACACACACACACACACACACACACACACACACACACACACACACACACACACACACACACACACACACACACACACACACACACACACACACACACACACACACACACACACACACACACACACACACACCACACACACACACACACACACACACACACACACACACACACACACACACACACACACACACACACACACACACACACACACACACACACACACACACACACACACACACACACACACACACACACACACACACACACACACACACACACACACACACACACACACACACACACACACACACACACACACACACACACCACACACACACACACACACACACACACACACACACACACACACACACACACACCACACACACACACACACACACACACACACACACACACCACCACCCCCCCCCGTGCTGTCCTCTCCTGGGCTGTGACCCAGCCGGGTAATGAAGGCTATAAATCAGCACCTTGGACAGCGCGAGGCAAGCCTGAGCTTCTGGATGTATGTACATGCAACTGGAGTCAGGAGGGGGGAGAGGGGAGGGGGGAGAGGGAGCAGCTTTCAGCACCGGGGGACAGCGGACAGCGACAGCCTCTGACATTCCTACTGTAAAGAGGCGGAAAGCCCTCCCTATCTGGAGCCGCTGCTGCATAGTACTGATGACTAAACAGAGTTATTCAGGTTGTTGCACAGCTAGCTTAGCAAGGCCGTGATTCAGATGAAAGGGATGTGTGTGTGTGTGTGTGTGTGTGTGTGTGTGTGTGTGTGTGTGTGTGTGTGTGTGTGTGAGAGAATGAGGTCCTATCCTGAGAGATGCCTCTACTGCAGAGTGACAAAAAGAGAAGGATAGAATTAGAGAGTGACACGGGGGGGGAAAGAGAGATGTGTTGAAAGGAGATGGTGGTGGTGTTGGTGGGCACTTATCCCCCTCTCTAAGGGTCCCACCCCAGCTGTGTGCACATTACATACATAGGTAATATCCATGCATCACGCAGGAACAGATAAAAAGGGACAGCCTGACAAACGAAAGTCTGACAACTACATTTTGCAGGAGATGTGGTGGAGCTCCAACCACACGCAAATTAAAGTGTACTCCGTCTGAACACGCGTGCCAACTTGGAAACTCCATTCTGCACACACATGGATGCATACACATAATCAGATGGGAGATTCCACAGTGCTAAAAGGTAGAAGCGCACACACAAAGACAGCAACGCTCAAGTAATCTTGTTAGCCTAACACTCCTGCATGCGCCGGTATGTGGCTCTATGTCACGCTCGGTAACCTGCCCTTGATGGTTTCGATTCGTCGCACTCACAAAACGGGGTCATGCTTCAAAAACCTGTCGCCAACCTCTTACAACCGCTGTCCATGCTCTTAGCGCACCTTTGTAATCCCCCCCCTACGAAAAAAAAAGAGATGCCCGCATTAAGTTAAATATTCATGTTCCCAGTGCTGGTCTATTTTTATCATTAAGCCCTCACAGGTAGGAGAAGCAGCATAGTGACTGTTCTCTCATCCGCAACCTGTCTCTCCAGTGCATCCTGGGAGTCCTGACGACAACGAGGAGATTTGTACCTCAATGCAAAAGGGGAAACATCAAAGAGGGAATGTAGAGAGCCAAATGGAAGACAAGAGGGCAGTGAAGGAGAGAAAGCCGGGGCCTTGAGAGATAGACAAGTGTGCAGAACAATCCTCAACATATAGCAGAGAGGAACTAGAACAAAAATGCCGGTGTGCAGCTTCTGCAGAATTATCCACAGCCCCAGTGAGCCGTTGGGTTTGAAAAATGGAAACCAAATAACAAATACCTGGGAATTCCATGACTTAACGCCGTTTCTAAATGTGCAGTGCTGTTCCCGTCACAAGCATAGGTTACATTTCCGTCGGGGTTTGCGCTTTCAGGCAACGAGCTGGTATGAGAGCACTCCCAACCAAGCTCTGCACAACCCAGCAACCCACAGGTTTCCTATGGAAAGCCTGCAGAGATCCCGGCCTGGGCTCAGCCATGGGGATTGGCTGGAGGGCTGATTTTGACAGCTGGGGGGGGGCGATGGGATTAGCAGCAGTGGTGGCTTGGTATCTGTAATTGTGAGTGGTTGTGTGTGTGTGTTTGTGAGAGCGTGCACATGCCCATACCGCCTGTCCACATATAACCATATGTGATGGGAGCATTTAAGTTGAACCAACTATTTGACGTTTCTACACCATACATCATTACTGTATGCATGTTTGCATGTTTGCGTGTGTGTCATGTTGATGTGTGTGTTTTAATGCAAGTTGGTGCATGTGCTGGAAAAGGCTGTAATGCCCTTACACTATCCATTCATCGTATGGAGTAAGCCCATTACTATTCCTGTCACAACAGCCTTGCAGTAAGAGCAGCAGCAGAGGAGGCAAGCCGACCACCGTACTGTGCTGTAACACTAACACACGCACACACACACACACACACACACACACCCACATCCTTTCCCAATGACTGCTCACTCCCATCACCCTAAATTGTGTGTGCTTTACGAAGCATTTCATGTGCTCCATTCATTGCCTCTCTGTGTGCGTGGGCGGATATACAGTATGTGTCTCGCATTGCCATTTGAATGTTCCTGTTTATGCATTTTTGCTGGTGTGTGTGTGTGTGTGTGTGTGTGACACATCCCATCACTCACCCTGGCTTTGGGCTCCTCCGTCCCCCTCCTCTGTGTCGGTCAAGTTGTTAAGCATCCCGGCTGCTCTACAGTTCTCTTGGTGTGCTGCTGCGGAGCGGTGTCACCGATGGAGCTCTCGGCGGCTCTCCCTGCTCTCCACCCACTGTGATCAGCCGCAGAAGTAGCGGGGAAGCAAGAGTAGAAAATATGCCAGCCGGATCCTCCTCGCTCCTCTTCGCTCCTCGCTGCCCGTAGGATGCACGCAGAGAGGCAGCAGAAGAGAGAAGGATTTCTTTTTCCTCCCTCTGTAGATCCTCCTCTTGACGTCTCTTCTCCGCTGGCTTGTAAGCGTGACTCTCTCTCTCTCTCTCTCTCTCTCTCTCTGTTGCTCTCTCGTCCTCTGACTCTCTTGCTGTTTCTCTCTCTCTCCTGGTGGAGGAGGAGGAGGAGGAGGAGGGAAGCTGCAGGAGTTTGGTGGATGATGGAACGCCTCAGAGCAGCACTCTCTCCCTCCTTCCTTCTTTCCTTCGCTGTCTCTCTTTTTTTTTTGGTCGCCTTCCTCACACCTGATCTCGATCTCACCCACTCACAGACACAAAAAGCACTCTCCCCTGCTCAGATGATGTTGCTCAGTCACTGTAGCTGCCAACATGATTGCATATTCAAACAGTAGTGTGATTTCTTCTACATCTTTCTCTCTCTCCCCCTCCCTCCCTCTTCTCATCGCAGCTGACAGACAGAGAGGTGATTGGGGAAGTGGAATAGATGCTGCTAAAGAGAGCGGGCGGTAGCCTCGCCGCTCTGATGTCTTCTGCTCACAGAGGTGCATTATGCATCGTCTTTTTCTCCTGTCAGCTTTGTAATAAGCTGCCGCGCTCGCTCCCTACTTTAATGTCAGATGCAAATAGAGACTCTGTATCCTTCAAGGGAGGAACAAGCCCTATCAACATCATCTGTATGCAGTTATGATAAACAAGGAGAGCCATCAGATGCACACACATGGAAGGACACACTGTATAGGCAACACAGCCATCAGTTTGGTTTGCACACATGCACACACACACCTGCCCATCTGCTCTAACATGGCTCTTTATCTTCCTTTCCAATGGTTAATCCCCTCTTTAGTGTGCAGAGAGCTTTTGTTCTAACTGAACTGCTGTATGGCGTCGGCACAGCATTGAAGCCTCCCTGTCAATTAGGCCGGTCTCATTTTTGATGCATGCAGATTCATTTTGATCGGGTACATTGTGTACCGTGTGCAAAAGAAATGCGTGTAGGGAAGACACTGTGCATGTGTGTGTGTGTGTGTGTGTGTTTCCATGTGTGTCCCAGCGGTTGCGATCCCACACCAGAGATATGAAAGCAATTAATCTTGGTTTTAGTCATGGTAGCGCTGATGCACAGAATAGATTTCAACAAAAAGGGAAGGAGGAAGATATAACTGCACACCCGGCTCTGCTGAATGGATTTATTACCGAGGTCTCAAACGAAACCTCTACAAACAACCAATACCTTGAAGCTTGACAACGAATTTTCTACTGAGCTGTGTGTACAGATACACTTCTCTCCTCTTGTTCATTAGTACTCACGCCAGTGAATACTTTGTAACAACAACACACATTACATTACAATATCCACAAGGAAAGAGCCTTTGCTTTTACCTTCAGTGGAAACATTACATTCAGTTGTGTCCTGAATATATTGCTTTATGTACATTATGTGTCAAGTAAGCAATTGATTGGTTGAATGTGACTTACATGAAATCATGCTGATTATTTCTGGTGGTTACAAAGGAGGGTGCAGATCTGTCTTGTTTATTAAATAAAGAGGAAAACAAATGTGAAGTAAGCAGGGGTGCTACACAAGTGATGTGGGTAGTACACTCAGATTTCTACTCTTGCATGTAAATGCAGAACTGATCAATAACACATGTCTTGCAGCCGTGCAGCAATCACTGGCGGCTAGTAATCAACCTCACAATGATTAGACTTTATTGTTGTCATTTGGATGGATGAGAAACAGGTAAATGGTTAACTAAACGCTATATTGTGCATACCAAGCAGACCGAATGCATACAAAAGGACAATAACCCAGTTTAATGTTTAACACTTCTGGCAATCACTTTTACGTTGTGTCTATTTTTGGTTGAATTGCAGGTGTTCATATAAAGATGCATCTTGTGATGAGCATTGCAACGTAGCGGAGTCTGTGGTAGGTTGCATTGGTGCAGGCTATTTATAAAAGTATTTTTTTTTAAATGGGGGCGCTAGTGTGGTATACATTGGCAACATCATCTTTTCTTCAGATTAAAATGTCACCTGGCACTCCAACTAACATTTTAAATGGCAACATGGTTGTCTGGAAACTATTTATTTACACTAATTACGGTGTTTATTGACATCATGCATCTTGAATTTAAGTTTGTATATCTAAAACATTTCTGTATTTCTGTGCTTCCTTTAGCTGCCAAGGCTACGTTCTCCATTTTCTAGTAACAGTTACTGTACAATTTACAGTGCCACTCAATTGTGTTAAACACGATGAAGAACACTGCGGGTGGGGGGGGCTGTGGCTCAGCAGGTAGCATGGTGGTCCACAAATCATATGGTCGTTGGTGCGTGAATGATTGAATGCCGACTTGTGTTGTTAGAGGCTTTGGGTGGTCGCGCAGACTAAAGACTGGCTGTACAAAATGCACTCTATTTACCATTGGATCATCACTTAGCAATGAATCAACCTAAAGTTCATCTACGCCAGCATCCACCTGTAGACTCACATGTTCCTCAAAGAGATGTGGAGTTATCATATCTACCAATCTCTCTCTCTGCACAGATTGAAATGAACATGTGGGAAAAACTGTAATACATTCAGTGAACTTACACAATCAAATCAGCTGCTGTAGCTAACACACTGCCAGACATCAACATTATTTTGGTTAGGTCCGAAAAGAGCCAACTATTAATTTGAGTAATTTGTTGTTTTACATTTTTGAGCGATTTAATATCTTGTTTGAGAACACTGATCTTGAAACAGGACAATTTTTTGAATAAGCTTTTTCTAAATCAAATAAACTTGAAAAGCTGCTGCATGAAACTAAGTACCTTCCATGCTGACTCAATTATGAGGCCTTAATATAATGCTAGAGCATTGCATTAAACATATATAATACGATCAGTTGTTGAAATGGTCCCTTTGCTGAGCTTTGTGGAGAAGAAGAAGAAGGAAGAGAACAGGGAGGAGGGGGGTCGTTATATATCACCTATAGAACAGGTAGGTGAGAACATGTCCGGCAAGGTGATGGCAAAGACATTACTATTCACAGAAACACCTAATACAAGACACACATTATAGCATCTTCAAGATTTCCTAACCCAAAATGAGTTGATCTGGGTGACGAGAATATATTGTTCTTAGAGGCAGTGACAGTGGGAATGTACAAAGGAAGGCGGCAGGAAGGCACTGAGTGCACTGGAGCAGAGGGACCTGCTGGCACAGCAGCTGTTTTCCAATAGAGACGCAAACAGAAGGCTCACTTTTCAAAAGCTAAGAACATTTATTGATGAGACTAGATGGAGTTATAAATCAGAACACTTAGAAAAATTGATGTCTGAATACATTTCCGTAAAAGAAAATGGAGGAAGAAGTAGTTTCAAGGTACAGATTTCAAATGTTGTTTTCTATTCACAAACAGAACTCAAGTAGATGTGAATTGAACGTAGCTATCTAAGCAGGGCTTCAAATGAAATCAAATGTATCTTTATTTTCCGAAGTAGGACATTCCTTGGGTCAGAGGTAGAAAACGGATCTCTTGTGCTGTACAGTGTTTGACAATCACTATAGATGAGCGGATCTTCCTGAATCTAACAGCATTTGAAGTCGACCCAGGTGCCTATAGCATGCCGACATGCTGGTCTGTTGGAGTTTTAAGAGCGAGGCAAAGTAAAAACAAAACAGGATGTCAGGAGATTTTGAAAAGCTGTCAACCGCCCACACCTTGACAAACGGTGTTAGTCCTGTCTCTTTTCAAACGTGAACAGCTGCTTCATGTCACGGTGCCAGATGATATTGTCAACTAGATGGAGAAGGCATAATGAAAAATCTGGAAAACACTTCTTCAAGAGGTGTACATTTCCCTCAAAAAATGTATTGCAAAGGTTTCTGGGACAAATTAAAATACTACAATTCATTTACATTTTTATTTTCCTTACCCAACTCAATTCAAAATACCAGAACGTGTAATCAATGCAATTCAAATGTTCTGTGGGCAATATTCTGTGCATGTACTGCTGACTCACAGGCATCTGAAAGCGTTCTGATTTCTAAAGCAGCATGTCTTGCTGACAACTTAACAGAGTCTTGTCTCCAAAACAGGGCCCTGTTATTGGATTAGCTCAAACCCTTACAACACTCAGACACTGCCAACAGCAAGTCTTGGGCTACAGTATGGGAGGTAGAGGCAGAGGGAACTGCACTGATAGTAAATGGCTGCAATATGACAACTATAGTATAATTAAGATATTTCTCGAGTGTCTATAAGTGCGAGAGAGCGCACTTGAGCCTAGGGGCGTTGAGGTCAAAAGCCAGAGTCAGTGAAAAACAGAAAAGATAGACTGACAGAGAGACAAAAGTTGAGTTTTGACAAATAGGAGCATTTTAGGACTAAATGCAGATGCATGAGTCATCTTTCAGAGAGCAATTTTTTAAAAGGTTTTTTAAACAGAGAGGAGACATTTACATTTTGAAAATGCAGGCTCATTTAAATGTCATGAACTCAGAGCTGGGGTCCAAACAGGGGCAGCAAAGGGACCATCTTGGGTGAATAATGTTGTACTAAATGGAGCCATGCTGAGGTCATATTGACCTGCTCTACTCTGCTCAGGAGCCTACTAATGAAGTAGAGCAACTCGGACACAAATACTTTTAATGATGACAGGCCATGGTCAAAAGAAATTCAATTATGTTTCTGAATCGCGCTCGCAGACCTCTAGTGACCTTGTGTCATCAAAAGGAGCAAGGGTGGAGAGGAGGTGAGAGGGGGGGGGGGGGGGGGGGGGGGGGGGTGGAGGGTGCTGGCCTTCAGTGGAAACAGTACATGGATGTGAGCTGATTCATAAAACAAAGAGAAGAGGAAAGAGCTCACGTACCGATTTGGGCAAAAAAACAGTTTTCTAACTGACTAAGTCAAGCATTGAGATGCATTTGGTGTGCTATGGTGCAGAAAACAATGCATCTGAGATCATCCTTAACAACAGAAGACTGTATTTATTCAATTACTAACACCATATCAGAGGGTACAACATGCAGTGAGTCTGAAGAAACTGCTTATGGATTCTGGTTCTTATCACAATGATGTAGTAGTTTATGATTCAAGTAAAACAAACACAACACAATATGTAAAACACAAAACCACATTCATATTTAAAGGAATAGTCCTTGCGTATTTACTGTGTAAGTCAAGAAGATTGATACAACTCATATGTCTGTGCAGTAAATATGAAGCTACTGCCATCGGCAAGTTAGCTTAGCATAAATACTTTAAACATTTAAAAAGACCTTTCCTTACTTTGTCCAAAACTGGACAAATAGCCTATAGCTATAAAGTCACACAATGTTTGATCTCAAAA